TACATAATTATTCCTATTTATATCATATTTAGTAAAATTTCGAAAACTACAAAAATCATAAGAAAGATTTATTTTCTTTATGTCTTTTACTATTTTATTGTATCATTAGTAATGATAATTAATCAAAGAACGGAATGTTGATTTTATTCAGAATCAATTAATTTATCTATATTTATTGGAAAAACATAATAATTACATCACTGGATTAAGTTTAAATGAATAAGAAATCAATTAGTATTATGTGCAGATGAAAAAAATTAAATAATTATTTCAGAAAGAAAAGAAAAAGATAAGTTTGAATTCAAATATCATGATAGATTGAAAAAAATTTTTTAAATAGAGAATATTTTATTATTTAGAATAATGGATATTTAATTGATTAAAGGAATTATTTTTATAAATTAATTCATAATTATATACTCGATTTAAGCATCAAGATTAAAGGTTCAGTTTATTACAAAGAATTAGTTTTTTTGGATTCAAGAAATAGATAAACTCTATGTGAGTGAATTAAAAGAAAGATTCTTTTAGAAAAATTTGAAGACTATAATTTAATTAATAACAAATAATTAAAAACCTGATGAATATCGTTTTCCATTATTTTTTTCATATTGAGAATTCATATTAATAAGTTATATAAATATATTTATTTAATTAGAGAGAACAATGAAAAGAATTTTAAAACATTTCATTAATTGAATTTTGAAACTATTCAAATACTTGGGATTGATTGCAATGACAAGAATTTAGGATATTCAATATATGAATTATGATAAATTAAAAGCAATATTTGTTGTTTTCCTCTTTCATAGTAACTGAGACTATTATTATCTCTATATTGAAAAAGACTTAATCAATAATTTAGTTATTTTGCTTACATGAAGTATAAGCATTTCGCCGCTTTTTGTCTAAATAGTTTACAAATATATAGTTCTTATTTTAGAAAAATGCATTCAACCTTTAACTATTGTTAACTTCTGTAATAGTTTAAAGAGTATGATCCCAAGTATAGTTATTCTTTGTCACGGTTCTCTAACTCACTCAGTCATTAATAGTGTATTGATATTAATTTATAAATAGTTTAAGTTTAGTTTAAGTTAACAAATTCCAATTATAATTGTTAATTTATTTACCTGAGAATAGTAGTTGTGAAAAATCCCAACAAATATTTATGGATCCTCTGAATAACAAAAGAAACCTATAAATCTTGCGTAAGAATCAAAATTTTATAAA